CATGCTGAGTTGGACTCTGGCAATCCAAATGATGGTGCTGTGTGCGCAGCCTTGAGGAAATGGAGCCTCCACACTACTGTGGCAGCTGATGCCATGGATACCAGTTCCAAGGACTCGGACAGCTCAGCCTCAAACAGCTTCCAAGTTGAGCACCTCGCTGCGTGGGTCCAATATGTGGAGAAGTGCAGTTTGGAGTGTTCAGGATGCTGCCCAAGTGAGACTGATACCAATTCCAAAGCCCAAGCAGTCCTTCGATCAGTGCTCGAGATGCTCGAGAGAATGCAAAAGGTATGCAGCTCACGCGCGCTGCTGGCTTTGGCTGATGGCAGTCTCCAGAAAAAAACCTTTGGATATTGCAAAGTTGGTGCCGTCCCAGTATCGACCTGTTGCGAATGCTCTCCAAACAGACTTTGCAAAAGAAGCAGACGCCTTGAAGGAGGACATTGGGCTTCAGGGTTTGGCTGAGAGACTCAGTTTGATGGAGTCAGCACTTTCTTGCTGTCAGAGTGAGCTTCTTCAGAATGAGGCCGCGTTCTCTCAGAAGCGTGCGGAGTGCCAAGAGTATGGGAACAAGTTCTCAGCGGCCTTGGAGAAGACATTGGATTCAGAGAAAATCACATGTCTGGATCCCACAAAGCAGTTTGTCGGGAAGTACGGGGATGTGACAAGCTGTGTAGAAGCATGGAAGATGAAAGAGGTTGAGTGGGTGTTCAGCAAAGACAACGAGAAGGACATCAACAGTGATATCGACAGCTTGAAACAAGCAAGGAAGTCGGGGCAAGAGATGCTTAAGAGCTTGGCCTCGATTGTGTCTTTCAAAGCTCAATCTAAGTTGCTGCAAGATGCTCTCAAGCTGTGCCACCAAACAAAGGAAGAAATGGAGGGTCAGCTGGCAGAATCCGCAAAACTTGCTGCAGTCATGGTCTTTGCTGACATGATCCTTTCTGGTTCAGGCAACGCTTCCACGGTGGAGAAGAATGAGAAGTATCTGCGGAAGACTTTCGGTGTGGGAAAGGACTCATTGCCGGACAAGCTGAAGGAGCTGGTCAAGGAGTCAGAGAAAAAGACTGGGCCACCTTCAACAAAGGAAGAAAAAGGTGGAAAGGGTCAGAGTCAGAGTTCAGCAGCCACCAAGAAGGAGAAGAAGGAAAAGAAGGAAAAGCAGGAAAAGGACAACAAGAGCGACAAGAACAAGCGCAGGCAGTCTGACCCGGCAGACCAGCATGCGAAAAAAGGCAAAGAAGAGCAAGTGAGTGTGCAAAGCACTGGGGGTCAGGGACCTGCTATCATTGATCATTGCTTTCATGGGCAGTGGATTCAATGCAATTCTATCTAGTTTTTTCCATTTCAACTTCTCCAAATTTCTCTTGTCCACAGACACCAACAGACTGATTGACCTCTGCGGAATTTTGTGCAATAAAGTAACTACTTATTACTAATAAGGTTGTGTTGTTTTTGTTCGAAGTGCAGTGTGAACCTCACAGCCCATGGATTCAATGTAAGCAGGAGTTTTTGGAGCTAAGCTGCAAATGTGCACCAGTGCACCATGACTATGACTGAGCTTCTGCTACAAGCGCTGGCAGCAGCTGGAAGAAACACGTGTCAAATCCCACTGCGTTTAGGGAAAACATTGGCTTTTGTGCCGGTGTGCACGGGGTTGTTTTAGCACAGCTTCCGCACCCTTTTTGGCATGTGTTGAAGTGGAAGTGGAAGCTTCAAAAAAACATCTTTGGCAGGTTTTGCTCATCGGGCAAGGCTTTAACCCTGTCGATTTCCAAGTGAGAACTACGGGCAGCCCAGCTGACTACTCAACCATCACGCGGCTGGCAGGACCTTTTTGAAGCAATTTTTCCCACAGCAGCTTGAACGACAGTTTGGAAACTGTATGCCCGGGTGGTGTTCAAGCAGCTTGCTTGCTTGCTTATGTGTATGTGCAGGAAATTCCATGACCACAAGTGTGATTGGCTCCTGCGTGATTGGCGTCATATGCTACTTCCTCTCTGAAGATGTGAGCCCAAGGCAGCATGCAGCATGATTTAGCAAATGAAAGTACGTAAGTCAGGGAGGTGCGTCTTTGGAAACAGGGGGCTACTTTGACTATCGGTCGGTCGTGGACTTGTTGCAGGTTGTTTGAAAAGTTTGAGAGTCTGAGAGTCAAATCCTTTCATTTCACATGTTATGTTTGCTTTGGCTTCATGTGTGTGGTGCATGTGTGCGCACAAGTTCCAAAGCCTGAGTCTGAACAAAACTGGAAAACATGTGCAAGATCTTCAGGTTCCAAGTCAGATTTCAGTATTTCACTTCACTTCGAAACGTTGACCGTTGATGTACCGGCTGTACCGGTGAACGCCGTGTGGACCTGTGTGTTCAGGACACCCGATCCCAGCGAGAATGAGAGTGAAAGCAGCGGCAGTGCCAGTGGTACTGCTGTGCCAGCCCCGGCCGATCCAGCTGATGAAGATGGCACAGATCCGTCCTATCATAGTTCTACTGACGAATCGGTGACGTGGTTGCTTGGGGTTGGGCCTCGCACAAAGCTCAGAAAGCAAGAGTGAGGAGAGGAGAAGGTGGAACTGAGAGAAGTTGTCAGTTGTCGGTGTGTTTGCAGTTGGCTTTGTTTTGTTAGAAGACGTGGCCAAATAAGAACACCAACAGGTGACAGGTGTTAATCGAAGTCGGAGTCCTCACTCACTCTGAAATCTCAAGCAACCAACGCGTGGGTATTCGGGATTTGGAACTCCACCACACGACTACATGTCCGGTCCTGTAATCCTGTACAGCGCCAGTGCCTTCCTCTTGTGCTTATGCAGTACCCATGCCACTCATGCAGAGTCAGTTCGGGCGCTCTTCCCAGTCCTCAGCGGCTTTGCTGGCCTGGCGGCCTGTTTGTTTTGAACTACTGGATATAGGATGCTGCAAAGCTGGGAAAAGCAAGCACGTGGGCTGTAGGGGTGTTGGGGGTCAGGTAGATGAATTTGGCAACGGTTGCTGATGATAGCTGGGTCCTGTGCGGTGAATGTGCCAGTAAATTGGCAGTAGTCAGCAACACGTACTTTTCTGTGAAGGGAGCGGCCACAGCATGACTGATATGTTTTTTTTGGTCTGGTCATTTGGTAAGTAAGTTTGTTCTTCACGTGTGGCTCGGGTTCAATGCTGAGCCAGGTTGGAGGACTTGAAATCCAATTGTGTGGATTATGATATCAGTAATACGATTGTATGATGATATATAATAAATATATATATATATGTATATTTGCAAACGGTAACCAATAACCAATATGTATAATCATATATGTCATAATGTACACGTTACATGTTACATATCGCATTAGCATCAAGCCCCGGCACTTTGCACAGTGGCCAGACCGTGTGATTTCCTCAGAGCCATGGGGGCCATTGGGCAAGTCAACCCTCTGTTACTTGTTGGAGTGTTTGCCAGCTGGGTGACAGAGGCTGCTGCTAGCAGCTCCAGCAGTCTAGCAGTAGACGAAGTTCTAGGTGACGTTTCCAGCATCGCCTTCAACACAGACGTCTTAGTTTTGTGCTGCACTTTGTTGCTTGCAGTCGTGACTGCATCAGTGTGTTGGCCCCTACGGCCTGCAAAGATCCAACAAGAGCGTGGAAGCCAAAAAACAGGACCTCAGCAACAACAATGTTGTGATTCTGGACCTGGAACGTGTGAGGGAAAGGGGGATAGCGTTGGCGAGGACTTGCCATTGCCAGAGTTAAAGGAGATCTGTCAGGGTCAGGGGCAAGTGATTTACATCACCCCAGAAGGGCGTTGTTTTCACACAAACCCAAAATGCAGATCCATTGCTAGCAACTGGCACAAAAAGACTGAACTCCGCCCTTGCAAAATTTGCACGGCAGGCAAAGCTTTCGAATCTCTCGAAGGCTAAATTTTGACTGAGACCGGAGAGCCATACTGTTCTTACGACCAGCCTGGGGCAGGATAAAAGAGTCAGAGTCAGAGGGCCTTTCCGAGTTTTCCAGGACTCTCACACCAATGTTTTTCAATGTTCCTAGTTTCCAGCATTTAGGCTATCATAGAATCATAGGCAAGTTTAAAACATTAGTTCTGACATGAGCTCCGACATTGTTCCTTACATGGGCTGCTTTGGTCTACCATAGGCCAATTTACAACATGAGTTCCGACATGAGTTCCAACATTGCCAGCAACATGGTTTTGCATATGGACAGAGATGCAGGCTAAAAATGGAAATAACAAATAGCACAAACACTTGCATGTAACTAATTGTGCCATACAGTTGCCGTTTCCAACGGCCAGGGGTGGATTCTTGTGAAAAGGGGGGGGGGTCTGTCTGGGACGGCAACATCTCTTCCAGGGTGATGTGCAGTCAACGACGCCAAACGTAGCCGGAGTCCCCCAGCCCGGTGATGAGAGACACCAGCGACAAAGCATGAAACTCAAAGGGTCAGTAGACTCTTCATTCATAGTAGGACCACCCCGGACCTGCCGTTCGGATTGTAAACACCTCTTCACATGGAGTCGTTGATCAAAACGTCTGCATAGTTCTCTTTCTCTTTGTTCATACTGCCCATGCAAAAAAAACATGTTTGCCGCTGTCGCCACCGTGGACTTCGTCTTGTGACATTGTACATCAGTGTACTTGGTGTGCTCTTGAGTGTGTCACATGCCAGTTTCCATACACCGTCCAAGTTGAGTCCACACATGTATCATCCTTCAATGGTAAATGTCTGCTCCTGCAATTCACTAAGTCACTACGCTTCGAAAGGAACAACATTCACTCCACCAAATCCAGCAATGCTACCGTGAAACACCTGTGAACATCCTGGAGCTGTGATGCCACTTCCAATAGTGCGGATGAACTGCCACCAAACCTTGTTGGCTGCCCAACAACATAAAGAACATAAAAGTCACCTGATTATAAAACAACTAATTATATATAGGTGATTTTTGCTGCCTTTTAACCACGCGATTCACTTCATCTCCCATGGCTACCCTCCTCTCTCCAGGCCTCCCCTTGAACCGCAAGCTGCTCCCACAAAGCTCCACCATCGCTGCCCAGCCGCGCACACCAAAGGTCCTTGAAGTAAATGGCAGGACCAAAGATTGGCGCGGACTCGCGGACTGGGTGGTTTTATTGTTAGACACACCCTTGCTCATCGGGGCATTTTTGACTCCCCTCATCCAAAACAAAAAAACAGCGCATTTCAACAGTAATTTTCACGCTCAACAACAATCCTCAAAACCTGGTTGACCACTGGAAGAAGCAACCTTTCTAATCATCAACCCCAAAGACACATACCCATCTTCAAAAGCTCAAAGCAATCAACACTAAAACATTTAACCACGGCCCGATGAACAAGGTTATTCTCATTCCCTGTTCCTACAATGCCAAAGCTGATCGCCGAAGTCTTTTTTTCAACACCTATGTAACGCTTCGTAACATGTCTCCTCGTGTCCCATCCGGTACTGCTGCGCTTCAAAGAAGAAATGCAAAAGGACAAACCATAAGCTTTGATAGAATATCATTGCTTGACTATTTCTTTCGACAAGAATGTATATAGGTAACCTTGTTCATGGGTGATGTGCCAATGTTATTGGTAGTGATGAAACCATCCTTTTTGAATGAGAATGCCCCTGAAGCAGTTGTTGGTAAACAGATTGTGATAGATCGAGTTCTGGTGGTAAAATTCTATCAGTAGACGAATGTGGGCGGCGAAAGGGCACATTCGCCAATTTAACAAGGGCATGTCTAACTTTTGTACTTATTATTGTATACCCTCTATATGGGTGTGAATGAAAACAGGGACCATTGGTCGGGGTCTCCCTATTGAAAGAGACAACCAACGGCGTCAAAAGCCATCTATGCCACCCAACGCGAACTCCACCGGGCCCAAGGTGTTACGGTGCGAGTGAGTTTGAGACAAGGGGCCCACTATCTGGGCCCTCATCTAGCATGGCAGTTGTTGCAGCTGTCAATGAACATATGTTCACCCTCACTACTGTTGACAGCTCCAGAAGCGAAGACGACCAACAAAAATGGCTGTCCCCTTGAATTATGCAGTTGGACTCTTGCGATGTACTCGACTGTCGACTGTTCCTCTTCCTCTACTCGTCCTCCAAGATCTGCAAGGAATCGCCACCCTTCCGCGTCGGCCGGGAACCGCCATAGAGAAAGACCTGCCAGTGAGGTGAGGCAGCTGCGCTGTGCTGGCGCAGCACTGCGGTGCTCCTCAGGGGTCCCATGGGCCTTTCGTCCAACATCCAGGATTCCTCTCCAAATGCCCTTCGGGCGCGCTTCGGTCCGGATTCGACCCCAGCGGTTTTTCCTCTTCCATGTCACCACAGGCTTTTACTTACGTCTCGGGGCAGGACGTGGTGAGCGAGAGTGCCACGGACGTTGTGCGTGCGGAAACGTGACACCGGATGAGCGGGGGGGGGCACACGTTGTTTGGTTGGTTGGGTTGGGTTTGGGCGATGAAGTGTCACAGTCTTTGAATCACATCCAATACATTCCAATACCCGCGTTTTTTCAAAGATATTCGATCGCCAAGTGTGGATTTACAAGCCTGAAATGGTGGCTGGAGCTGACTTCGAATTGCCTTGCCGCGTCGTTTTTCTGAAATGGTGCACTTCCTACATCTCTCGTGAGACTTATTGGGTCTCTTGAATCTGCAGCAAGCCAAGCTTAGGAATAACACGTCACCATGTGGCGATTCACTGGTTTTTCTTTTTTTTCCGTTTTGGAACTACCAGTTACCAGGGATTCGTCCAAAGGATATCAAATCATGCCTTGGCGGTCTTTGGAAACCCAACCTCCCAACCGGGTTGACATGGTTATATGGCACCACCTTGAACTCCTTTACCCAACAAAAATGGCTGGGACTGGGGAGTTGCCATGTGTTTCTGGACACCCAAATGGCCCACGCACCTCCGTCCCCATGGCCCAAAGCCACACCGGGAATCCCACCTGGCTGGCCGCGGCAAACAGCAGCCCTCCGGCGCGTGAGATGGGGCGAGCTCGACGATCAGAGGAGACGGGCAAGAGTCCTAGGCGAGGCTGGCGGGAGATGAGTCCTCTTTGGACACAGTCGGACGCTACGAAGCTCCTGGTTGCCCGTAGACCGACGAACGGAGCAAGAAGCGGCATCGGTACGAACCGTAACGAAGGGCCACGGCGGCGGCATTCCAGTCGGATGTCGCGCGGATGGTTGCGGAAGGCAGAAGAAATCCCCACAGTCTTGATGGCTGGTTCACCTAATTTATGCAGTGGTCATAGTCTGCACGCGGTGGAAAATTCAGGTGATATGCCGCGCCTACATTGCATTCCCCAAAGCATCCCTAAACCACCCCAATGTCCCATATGGAGTGTCTGGGGACTTTTCGATTAGCCGAAGTCTCCTTTAGTCTTACTTGTCTCAATTGCCGGGGCATCTCCGGGTCGCCCCGGGTCGCGGCCGTGGCGGGCGCCCAAACAACGAAAGACCGTGCACATGCAGCCGATGCTCTCAGAGGGGCGTGGGTGGCCATGACATCAAATGTATACCAACTGAATAATGAAAATGTCCCCTTAGGGCTCCGTGTAGCCTCTGAGAAGGTGGGACTGGGGTGGGTTTGGGTTTGGAGCCCTTGGGGCTCATGAGTCATGTTTCAAAATGCAGCTGACCAACGATCTACGATGGTGAACGTGTCCACTGAGAGGTGGAGGTAAGAAGCCTCTTTGAAGGGGATCAAGGAGTTGTCAGTGGAGTTGTCATGTGAAGCGTGAGGAAGGCTTGCTACTCTCATGGTTGTATATTTTAAGAGGGAGGTCTCCCATCCCATTTTTTTTATGATCACCCACATGCTTCAATAGGAAGTGATGGACGCTCCTATGGCTCCATGCAAAAAAATCAGACAAAAACCATCTGAGAGAAGGCAAAGACCTTCAAATGGTCCAAAACCTTCGAGTCTGAGTCACCCAACGCATCAAAAAAAGCTCGATCACTGTAGCTTGCCTTTGGTGATGCTTGCTATTTTTCATGCAGGCCCTCTGTGCTCAGATGAAGTGTTTGGGAATGAATGTCTCTCTTCGTTTGGGAACATTGAGGACACAAGACGCTGACCACAAAGAGACACAAAAACACACCCAACCTTCGTTGTTCACCTCGCCAGGCGGCTCCAAGTGTGGCTGGGTAGATGCAAGGCATAGAAATCGTCCCAGTACGTCGCTCGGCGCTTCTTGTCCTCGGAGAAGCCACCAAAGAGCACCTGGGAGGAGCGGGCGCGGACCCGCTTCTCATGTGGTACTGTGGGAGTACAGGTAGGAGTGGCTATACAATCAGTCAAATATAATATAATATAATGTGAAAAAAGGAACAAGACAAGTGTCCCAAAGAAGAGTAGAGCAGTTGGGTATTCCCAAGAAAACTATCTATGTGAAGGGGCAGTCAAAACCTGTTCTTCTTCAACTAATAAGTGGATGTTGTCGGTTTTGGGGTGGAACTGTGCACAAACCACCCATCTCCAGTATATAAAAAATGTCTTCAAATGTTTTGATCGCGGCTCATATACAGCAGGGCGCCAGGTTCATGAAATCAATTCGGAGCCACAGTTGGAACGAGAGGTCAGACAGCGAGACGACTGGCATCACGAACGAACGTATGTTCAATGGATCTCGAAAGACATCGGATGTTCCTGGTTAAACTGCAATACCAGATTGGTCAAAACGCTAGGTAGTGCACGGGGTTCGGGTGTATGGAATGAGATTCAAGGCTTTCACGGTAAAGCAAGATGTCTGACTGCAATGTTCTTTTTTGTTCTGCTTTTTGTACCGGCAACCTTTGAAGATTGGGATCATCAAAGTAATAGCACCATATGACACAATTGAATTGAGCCATTGAGCTCCAAATCCATCAGTGTCCCCAACACCTTCCAACTTCGATCCCTACAACCGAAAGGACGTGAAGAATCATGAAGAACATGGAACCTGACGGCATGGACCTTTGATATCCCTTTTGCTGACCCTTGAGGGGTCGACGTCGTCTTTCCCCTGCAGGTGCCACGGACGTGCCAGCCCAGTGGCTGCATAGGACCCGGCCGTCGCCATCCGGTGCCCAGAGCGACTGTCTGGCACGCTGCCATGGGCCTGGCAAGTCGGCAAGGGGAGACGAGGGGGATGGAGGAGTCCAGAACCAGCTGTTTTCAATGGCCTTTATCAAAGAAGCAACTATTGTACTAACGAATTTAGACCAGTTCAACCATATTTCCAGATTATCTTGGAAATACGACATGCAGGAAACTGCTCGTCTTCCTGTTGTCAAGCCTCCACTGCTGCTTTCTAATTGACAGGAGGTCACGCATATTCCCGAGGAACCACTGCCACCTTCCTTCTCAGAGTGGATCTTTTGGAGAAGAAACATTCTATTCAACAACAGGAATTGTATTAACCTTAACCCAGTGTGTAGCAGGTACGACTGGACTTTCCTTCTGGGAGGGTATGTGGATCTATAGGGTGTGATATTCAGCCAGTCGGCATTCCAGGTATCAACCATATTTTCATCTGGAGAGTTGCCATCGGTCAGTCTGATATCATCCCTTATCTGCCATTTCGTTTGGCACCCTTCACTTGCAATCTCATGCGTTAGATTCTGGCAAAGGGTAAGTTATAATTACAGCTCTACCCTGCTATATCACACCACCTTGATCTTTCAATCAAAATGAATTTGCTACCAGAACCTTCCTTACGAGGTCTCCAATAGACCATACTCTACACAAGTGGTGTGGATCTCCATCTAACCCACCTCCGTTGAAGGTTCAAGTAGGTGGTGTCCATCTCATCTGCATGAATAAACTGGTTGGTCCCAAGTTTGACCTCTTTGTTAAGCAAGGCTATTAATAGACACCTGCTTCATGTTGCCCTGGCAAAAACGTATCAACACGTATTATACACAATTATGTACGTAATATAACTAATTATTACATGCAACTCTTCTTCTCCTTCGTCTTCTTCTGGGTGGTCTCTATGATCGTTATCACTCGCTGGATATTCTTGACCTCAACTACAAGTCAACAAAACTCAAGACCAACACTCCCAAACTCCTCCATCGCTCGGGCTGCTCTGACCTACCTCCAACTGCTCCCAGCGCGTGCCCGGAGCGCCCGAGCACTCAAAGCGCCAAAGATCTCGGAATTGACCTTGGCAGCTCGGCTGAATCTGCTGAGAGTGGGAGAAAGGCAGATCTTTTTTGTATTTTAATTTTGGGGGACATCCCAACCAATAGAGATCTTTGGGGGATATTCTGCTACACACCCACATTCGTTTTGGGGTATGAACACCAAAAGATAGAGATTAGGTTTTTGTGGGATCTATTCAGCAGTTGCCGCGGGTATGGTTGATTCATGTTGACTCACCATGTCCACCTCAACAACACTCTTGGTTGCTGACAAACATGCGAGGATCATGACCTGGACTCGCAAAGTCTTCATTTTTTCTGTTTTTGTCTTCATTGTTCCGCCTCGGGGGATGAAGCGACCTTATACAGAGATCAAGCCGGACCTGGGCCTAGGGGATCACTAGACTCGAGAACTGTTTTTTTGATCCTGCACTTTTTCTCTTTTTGATCCTGTTCTCTGGTTTCTTTGGCCCTTTACACTTCTATTTTTGATCCAGATGCCTGCCTTGCGCTCGCCTCTGCCTCTTCCAACGGTGTGCTACAATGGAATGGCTTCTGCGCTCTCTAAATTTTGTCGTGGGCTGTCTCAGAAAAGGTCTGCTACATTGGACTGGCCAATGCATCCTCTAAATCTTACCCTAAGCTGCTACATTGGCTCCGCTAAGTTACTTACGACACCACTGCTTCCTTTCTTCCTTCCTTCTTTCTTTCCTTCCCACAGCTAGGCCTGAAAAAAGACATATGTGTATATATATATATACAGGTCTATCCTAATACCTGTAACACTGGATGATGATGGTTAGTAAAGGCCTTGTTCAAAAATAGTAATAATTGTTTACTGACTGTTACAGGTAATAGGACAGACCCTATTACATTATATACAAATATATATATATATACAGTATATATACCACTAAAATATATTCCCCATATCAGTGAATGAAGCCACGAAAAGCAAAAACAAAAAAGCCAACCAAGGCCCAAAGCCACCAAAAGCCGAAAGCCACCAAAAGCCTATTGGACAACAAGGCCTCCCACTACTTCGGCTCGCAGCTTAGCCCGCAGCTCAAGCCCTCCCTCCAAGGAGCGATAGCGTTTCTGATCCCGGCTGGACCATTCTCCTCCGAAGACGTAGAGGTATCCGTCCGCACCAAAGGCCTCGAAGGTCGGTCTTCGGTCCCGGACCGGCGAAGTTCGACGTTCGGCGGACGGAGGTCACCCGGCAGGGTGGAGCGCAGCGTGCGCAGCGGCACCGCAGTCAACAGCACCACCCTTGCCGTTTGGTGCGAACCCGAAATGTCTGCCAAATGAGTACGGGCCCGCTTGCGCGGAGACCTGTCTAGTTCTGGTGCACCCCGCGTCTCTACACCGTGACCGAGAAAAGCGCATGACAGCACTTTTTACACCTTTGCAGAACCCAAACAGATTGAGAGGCAATACGGCTGTGGGTCATGGCACCTCCGTGCTCGTGGACCTCTCAGGTAGTCGCTGTTCAGTCAACCGCGGTCCCCGAGTACCCACTGCCATGTGAGGTGAGGGCCGGTTTGGGTGGGGTTTTTGCGACTCACTAAAGGGTGTACCACGAGTGCGAAATGGATGCCTTACCCCGAAAAAAGTGGAAGATTCTCGTGTGGTAGCACCATAGATGTACAGATTCTCATCTGAGTGTTGGTGTTGGATTCTCACCATAGATGTACACTACATGTACACTACCCTACTCCCCAAATAGAGTATTCACAGCGACTGACGTCGGTGTCGTCCTGACGTCGGTGTCGTTCGCAGCTGCGGATCGGGGCCGCAGGGTCGAAGCCGAGTCCGCGCCTGGTGCGCCGACCGCGCTTCGGGGCCCGGGATGGTGGGCACAGCGCTGTAGAGCTTCCTCGGATTAGTCTTCTCGTGTGCGTGCGGGATGGTGGGCCCAAGGTCGGGATGCTGAAGGTCGGGATAATTCATCCATGGGAAGTGATAAATAGATTCACCAAGAAGCAATAACTGTATTCTGTATTGTATTTTCGATACTATGGGTGAACGCAGCGGAATGGCAACCAGAAATTGCAGGTCCACCAGGTACTACGTAATGTGGATTGGCACGGCCCATGTGCAAGAAGACGGAGGAAGTTGAAAAAGAAGGTCAGAGAGAAGATGGGAACCTTTGACAGGTTGGGGAATGCTGGGAGGTCCAAAGCTTTCCACCGCTTTCCCAGGTTCCACCGCCTCGATGGCGGACTGGCACTGGGTGGTGCACTTGCCTCCATGGGACCCTGATAGCTGGGGTGAACTGGACCGGTTTTGACCCTCAGTCCGCCGAACTGGACCGAAGCAACCAACCGTGTAGCAGTTGGGGCCGAACGGGCCGCGTCTGGGCCGCGTCTGGGCGAACGGTTTGATTGGGCAATGGTAGGTACAGATTCCACACATGAAGTGTCTTGGGGAAACGAATGTTGTCCAGTGAGTGCCTGAGAGTTCTGAGAGGCCTTCGAGATCCGGCCACAAAAGAGATCTGGTGGACATCGAAGAAGCCGGTGCTGGGCTACTTAATATTGGTATACAGTCCCAATTCCTACAATTGTTTGTAAGGATCATTAAGGATCCACCCTTAGGACAAATTCAATGGTTCCAACCTGTTCCAAACCACACATACCCAGGCTTTTTCTCTTCACCGATTCGCCAGTTTCGCCCATCCTCGGGCGCTGCCACACGAACCGGCTGCGCCCGCAGGTACTTGTCGTTCCAATGACATCGGTGGAAATTCCATCCGAGAGCGCTGCACCATCGCAAGAGCACCCTGACTCATGGTCTCGCAATCAAATCTTCCAGAAGATCTTCCATCGGTACAGCAGTCCACAGAGCCTCATGTCTGCCAAAACCAGAGAGGCAAACGTTTCACACCCTGAACATGTATTCGAACTCCAACTACATAGGAGCAACAAAAAGTGCAAAAGTTCTGGCTGCTTGAGTGAGCAGCAAAATCCAAAAGAGCAAACCGATCAGCGTGAATGCTACTTCCACTGGTGCGCAGGCGTTCTGAACGTTGCCAACTGGGCTGGGGCAGTGGTGTCCGAGTCGACAAGTGTGCCACAGGAAATGGTCGCGAAACCAGCGGACGATGTTCTGTTCTTCACCCCTCACTGACTGCAACGCCCAGCTGAGGACTCCGCAACACTCGGAGAGCACGAAAAACAAGATACAGTTGGCACCCAGCCATTGAAAAGGCTTCAAGGCCGTAGTGCCTATGATGGTCATTTTCCGCCATAATGGAGAGGAGGGCTCTCGGTCGCAAAGGAAGAATAAGGCCGCATACAGGAAAATACCTGTGCCCGCTGTACCTGCGAGAGGATGACATCTGCTGACAAGACTCACCTCGCTCATATTCCACATCATCACTCTCTGTTGCACTAGTGCAATAAGCATACTCGTAGCACCAGTAAACCATTTTATGCGGCGTTCCTACTCATGAGACTCACCCTAAATGATTGAAAGGTTTCCAGTTCCAGTCCATTCAATTTGCTTAATCAACCAGTTTATCCTTTTAATCTTGGGCATGCAAATAATCCTCGCCCCTAAAAGCATAAAGGAACTGGCCTCTGAGAGGGATACACACCCGCCCGTCAGGCACATGTTTTGCCTGCCTTGCTTCTCCATGTATCAACATTCTAATCACATCGCCCCCTTCAAGCGACCAAGCAAAACAAGAACCTGAAAGTCGCAAGATGCAAACGGTCGTAGGTCAAGGAGGATGCTATTGGGAAGGATCCGCGTGATCCTATTGAAGGCCACTTTCAGTCGTTACTTCTCCGTGTATGAACAATGACCTGAAAGTGCGTGCCAGTTACAAAGGTTGTATGATGGCGACCATAAGCGCTTGTTAAACGGAATCCATTGTGTCATCCAGCAGCCGATCGCAGTGAACGTGGTGCCAAGCAGTAGCCAATGCGCGAAGAATCCTGAGGTGGAAGGCTTCCAAAAACACAGCACCCACACAAAACAAGAGTCAGGAAGGCACTAAAATTTGCTCGAACTACACGTCTTTCGAAGATGTAGTGATATGCTTGGATATTCCAAGATCTGATGGGACTGGGCTCCTTCCGTCTTCCTTGCAAAACAAATGGCACCAAGACTGCCAAGGCTCGTTGCAGGACTCGTCCAGATCGCCCCAGATGAGCCCCCACGAACATGGGGAACGTGGCGCTCAGCGTTGTGACCAAACCCTCTGGATCAAAACCAAAGTTGGGCGCGCCCTGACGGTTTCGGCGGCTGGACGGGAGGAGGAAGAATTCAAAGACCACCCACCTCTGCGTGTGTTTTTTTTGGGTGAAATGTTCTGGAGCTTCGAAAGAGAAAAAGAACAACCAAAGCGTGTTTTGTTGGGTGGAATGTCTTTTTTCAATCTGATTTGACAGCCAAATGAAAGTGGTTGGACACCTGTGTTTGGCATGACTTGCTGCGAACCAAGTGGCCTCATCGGCCCATGTCAGTGGTAACTGGATTCATGAGGATTCACGGAAGGTGCATCGGCACTCCCAAAATCTGTGGAGGTCTTCCAGGGAAAACGGGTGGCTTTGGGACCTAGAGATGATGATACTTGGCCTAACTTCCTCTGGTCCACCTAGCTGGCGTCCAAAAGCAAAAAAAACAGAACATAACATAACGTGACTGAGCATGAACAGAATAGACTATAGACTACCAAACACGTCGACCTACAGTTTTGGGTCTTCAGGTCTTGACTCACAGCCACCTCTTGACCAATCCGAGACCGATTGCCTTGGGTCCTATGGACGTGCCCTGGACGTAGACGTGTTGGACGCCCAGGAGTATGGAATCCAGCCAGCCGGCTCTGCTGCAGCCCATGTCATGCAAGCTGACGACGTCAGAGGAGGAGTACAAGGTTGAAGCGCCTGAAGTCCCCGTGGGTGAGGGAGATTCATGTGTTGGGGCGTAGAAGCACCCGAGCTTCTTCACGTCACCCTGGAAAAAGGTGTGGGCACAAGGGTCTTTGAGGGCACAAGGTCTTCAACCTTTTCCAACAAGGACCAAACGAAGGCATTGGGTGTCTGGACGACTAAAGAAGGAGGATGAGGTATACTCAACCACTTCCAAGACCAACCTGCAGCCTTGCAAATGATCGATTTCTCGCAGATTCTCACAGTAGGTTTCCAAGTAGCACCACCGACCCGTCCCAAATAACGATCCCAAACTCTTAGCCACTCCAAGGGTGAGCACCAGTCCAAGGGGCAGCCAGGCCAACTGGACGGTGGAGCACCATAGGTGAGACACGTTCCCAGAAGCACCAGCAACAGCACCAGGATCCACCTGATCTAGTGCATGGAATGCAGGCTGGATCCTGAGAATTCCAAACCTCCCTCAGTCACTAAGAGAACACCCACCTGAAAATAGAGACATTTCTGACTGCGGCTTAGCAATAAGGGGTTGCTGGATCCAACATATAGTGGGGGTGAAACTTCCTTCAGTAAGTCACGTGGCGTCACCGAAAGCACACGGTGCAACACAGTCAAGGCCTGGTGTGAGCAACATTTGGACCTGCGATCTCATGGTGAGAAACCCGAAAGTCGTGCCTGGTAAATGCCACTCCTCATTTCACGCGTCTCGACGTGGAATTTCATGTAACTAAGCATGTTTGGACTTGATGACAGTCATGTCCGTATGCCCATCACAGCCGCACCACGTCGCCTGAGCACGGTGCGCCAAAGCAGCCACAAACCGATGCCCTGTTCTTCTGGCAGCAACGCTTCAAACGCATCACCGTCGCCATCGCGAGAACCACGTGCGGGAACAAAGAGATCGATTAAGGAGACGAAGAGGAACACAATGGCGATCCGCTGTAAAATTCCCATGATGCGCACAGTGCCTGGAATGGAACCCGAACCACCCAGATTGGCAGGTTGCTGCTCAGCAGCTGCTTGCCGGCTGACCAGCAAGATTACAGTAGGATTGGCAGGTTCGTGCGCAGCAAGGAAACGGTTCTGAGCAGCAGCCACCTGCCAATCTTGCTGGTCAGCCAGCAAAATGGCTGCTGAGCATAAACCCTCCAAACTTCCTGTTCAGCAAACAAGCAGTTGCGGAGCAGCAACCTTCGAATCTTGTGGGTCAAAAAGCAAACAGTTGCTGAGCAGCAGCCTTCCAATCTTGCTGGTCAAGCAGTTACTGAGTCAGCAAGCCACCGGTTGCTGAGCAGCAAACTGCCAACAGTGCTGGTCAGCAAGCAAACGGTTGCTGCTCAGAGTAACGAATATAGGTGAGTCGACGTGAGACACACCTACCCAATCACAATTGAAAGTGCGCAAGAACCCAACAAAGTAGATTTCGTGAAACGTGACAAGTTCACCCGATGGTTTTTTGGAGTAGGGCATGCCCCCCGCCACCACCTTGAGTCGTTCTCCCCCGGAGAGGCAACAAGGCGGACCTGCTGTTCGCACGTCTACCGGGCCTAAGAATGCTACTAGTAACAGGTGCCACGCTAGTAGTAACAGGTGCCTTACTAGTAGTAACAAGAAGCTGTTAGAATTAAATAAACATTAATAGCTTCTTGTTACTACTAGTAAGGCACTTGTTACTACTAGCGTGGCACCTGTTACTACTAGCTTCTTGTTCCCACGTCTACCGGGCCTAAGTTCAAGACCAAGAGCGGCCCAGCAGGCGTCACATGGAAGATGCTCCCCTGCACGGCCAGGCCCAAAAGGAAGAGCCGCAGCGCACGGAAGGCGTTTCGCCGGAGCACCGTCCACGGTTGGATCGTTGGGGAGAGGCTGATGTGGAAGCTGATCCTCGAGGTTGGATTAGGCTTTAGGACACCTGGAGCAAGTATACCTGACCTCACATTCGCCCTTCAAACTTGGCTTTTGAAGGGAAGCACGCAGAAAAGAAGTAACGTCTGTGCAAGCCAAACCAAGCAAGGAAGGAAACTAGTTACTAGTTTGTTCCGGGCGTAGATTCAACACAGCCATGTGAATTTGGATGTGCCATACTGCACGCTCATCAGATACCACAAAGGGTGTTGGTTCACCTTGACAGCAGGACGGTCATGAAAGTTGAAATCCACCAAGGAACGTGTATTCATTCGTGCAGAGTTAATTTGCAGAAGACAGAACATGACACGAACATCCACCCCTTTCAAACTGGATGTCCACATCGATTTCCCTCCCAAGCATAAAGGAATGATTGAAAAGACATCCTCATTCCAGCCCGGCCATAGGTGGGGATATACAAAGTGCCCCTCAATGGTTAGTTGAACCTACCTCGACATGAATCCTAAATCTTTTGCGTACGAACTCCGCAAAACGAGGACTTCCTCTGTCAGGGCGTTCTGCCGGGCAGTCTGCAGAGTCCTATACAAAAGAACTTCTTGCTTTCCATGTTCCCCGAGATCAGCAAGAAGTACGGCATCACCAAGTCTGCCAAGTGTAAGCCGTCCCAGGGTGCATGTCCAATGCTGGGATAGAGGTCACCCAAGGTGTCCACGATGAGCATCACCTCAAGTTCAGTCACGCTTCCTTGCAACATCAATTCTGACATCATCTGAGTGTGAAACCAATTGCACTTCGACTCACTAACATGGAAATGGACAATGGCCGCTGGGAAGACCATTTTCCTTTACAAACAGGTCCTTTTCCACGTAACCATGTGACGGAACGCGTCACAGGTCACAGCTTCGGGGTCTCTCCCTCGGGTTCCGACCCTGGGGCTCCTCCCACCGGCGGAAAACCGCCTTCGTCCCACCGCGTCACGGCCATGGTGATGCCACGCAGGACGTCCAATCCCACCAGCCGTCGCTTCCCGCGCGCGGGCGAGACCGAAGCGGGCGCGGGCGCCATGGGACGCGGTCGACACGTCGACGCGTGGAGCGGCGACAAGGTGCCGACAAGGAGGGTGCCCAAAAGTCGAGTTGGAAGCAAGTGAAGGAAGCCCAAATGGGATAGTTTTTCTATACCAGGCCTACAAACCACATACTGTGCCTCGAAATCATTGGTGTTTGCCACGGATTTCTTGGGGTGGGGTTATTCCGTCCAATTTTCATGGTTTGGGGTGTTAGAGTATGGTTCTTCCAAGTGCGGCAATGGTTGCTAGCTTGTATTTGTGAGTGGCTCTTTCAGCACAAGCCTTCCCAAGCATTCCTATTCAAAACATGTCCATTCAGAGTGGGCAAGGTCAAGCATGAAGCAACCAGTCACCGCAGATTTGTTTTCGACAAGCAGGTGGGCGGCCTGTTGAAGGCTCACAGTTTCTGTTGCCACTGAAGCCCGCTACCAGCGGTAGCAATATGGCTTAATTGACTTATTTGCTAATCAACCCTAAGTCCAATTCGTCTGGGCTCTTGTTTTGGTTGCCAGACCTTGAGCCACGGAGACCGAACAATGGACTACAGTGACACATATAATAATTAACCTCTTTTTCGATCTGTTCAAGGAACCGCCCACACGTACAAGTAACAAACACTCACACCCTTGCGAACAAGTAGAGAACCCTTTTCAATGCTTTCCAAGAACGACTATGCTTCTGGCTCAATGGGAAACGAAGATTTGGGATTCCACTCTTCTGAAATGTCCATCAAAAGCGGCAGCGCCAAAACAACACCAAGCTAAAAATACATGGGTATGTGTGCGAAGAAGTCGTGAATCTTCCAGACCTCTGATCCTAGGATTCCGCTGCCTTCCACGCGACGATTTCGCATGCGAAGCGCGCATCTTCATTTTTGGACACTCAACAAAGTCGTTCTAGGTCAACCACTGACCGGGAATGCGTGCACTAGGAACTGAAAGGGGGGTACCCTACCCATGCGAACACATCATTGCTAGTGGCTTTAGCTACATCAACGAAGCAAAGCTCCTTGTGCTCTGACGTCAACAGCCCCAGAACATGAACAAACAAGAAACCCTACTTAGGGCGATGTGTCGCGGATCTAGCAATAGAACATATTGAATGAAGCTTTGACCCACAAAACGACAAAAGTTCCGCTCATGAGTCATGAGGTCCAGTTTATGCCTGAAGATACAACCGTGCTTTGCCCAGGAGCTGTATTTCAATCCTTGGAAGAAGCTGCTATTCCACCCTGCCTATTCAAAAAGCTCCCGCAAGCTTTCTGTCCGTCTGCCGAGCCACTCCCAGGGCAAAGGCGTATCCACCTCCACAGCGCCTGGACACCAGCAACATCCAAAACAAGAGGCTTGAAATCCATCAGCTGAATCTAAAATGGCTTAAATTTAAACTAGTTGAATCCATCGCCCATCCAAAAACGTGTTCTTTTCTTCCTTCTTCCATGGACTGAAAGCGCTCAAACATACTCTTCAAGCAAACCCTGGCTAGTCCCGCCCAAGTTGCCGGTTTCACTACTCCGTAGGTCCCCTTTGGAACATGCGCGTCGCGCGGAACCGCTCTTTTTCAGCCCAGAGACCCATCTCCAAGCGATAGAGATCCTTGGAAACAACGACCCGAGGTTTGTGGGGCTCACCTTCTGGCGTTTCCCAAAGAAGGAGTGAAGAAACCAGAAGTTCCTCCTGATAGCGATGCCCTTGTGACTAATAGCGATGCACTTGTCACTAATAGTGATTTGGGCATCAGACGAACCTACTGTCCCAATTTCTGGCTCTTCTCTGCAGCAGGGTCAAGCAACTGGGCCACTTGACTTTCAAGGTCTGCACATCCCATTTCTTGAACCTGGATTTTTCTGGCACTTCTGTGCCACTGTGGGGTGAAGCAACGCCACTCGCTCAAGGTCAGGTGATGAACACAAAGCCCAATCGCCTTTTGATGAATCCTCCAGGTCAGCTGAGCTATAGCTCAAGGTCAGCTGATCAAACACTGAAACGACTGGCTAGCTCATACTAGGGAACAAGAAAAAATGGGATATTCTTCAAATCCCGTATGTTGACCACATGGACCGTCCATGCTGCCGCAAGAACCAGACATCAAACTTACACCACCGGAACCGAAGCCACTACCCACCCACCCCAGGTGTTTCTCCCATCCCCATGGGCCAACCTGCTCTCTCCCTGCTCCGGTCTCCCCAAAACCCAGACGTTCGCTTCAGATTCGCTCCAAGGGGCTGAGTAGAAGGTCAGCTCTCGTCCGTCGTAGGCCTCTCCACCGAAGATCAGGATCTGCTCACCTGCAACGCTCCGCCAGGTGCGGCCACGCTGTGGCGGCAAAGGTGCGATAGGAGATGCTTCAGCCTGTGATCGTCCCGTCTAAATGAGAGGGAAAGCATTCAGTCGTGGCCAATGAGTTCAACAGGTCTCTTTTTGGCATACCTGAGACTCTTCATGGTCACCTACCTCGGCGCAAACAAGGCTCTTTGATCCGTCCAATGATTTCCCAATGATCTTATATCGAGTTTAGAAGTGCCACCAGCCAGAAACGAAACCAACCGTTTGCAGCCGAAGAATCACTGCAACCAGTTCCGCTTTAAACCTGGCCTCGGTCTGGAAGGTGGAAGCTGGTGATGGAAAAATGGCTCCTGCGGGCGGCCAACGCGCGGAGGCAAGTGCCCGGGCGCACGTCCACGAGTGCATACGTACGATCATATGACCTCTGGAAGCGGCCATCACCGAGAAGCATGTACAGCCTCAAGGTTTTCCAAGCAAATCAGAACATTTGACTCTCTTGTGCTTCTTGGGTGCTGGCAAGCGGGTACAAAGTTACGAGGATCTATAGGGATTTACGGAAGGATTGTATGAGTAAAAGTATATCATTATTATGCCATGACCCTATCAGAATGGGCTGTGATTGGGCGTCAGGACAGGGTACAGTCAGACTGATGGTTGCGGTTTAGGAGATGTGGATATCATTGCAAGGTCCAGGTGTCCGACATTGGTCCGCCAACTCCGGTGGCTCTTGGGTGCTTGGCTGTGGTTCTCTCACTGGCTAACGGGGACGAAAAGCCGTTCTGGGTACACATACCTGTTTCAACTAGCGCCGCTCCTGCGACCTCAATCGGAAACCAGAAGTCTTGTGAAGTCTTGGTCTGGACTAACATTGAATATACATATACAGTGATTGAATAATACTATATATATATATATACATAAATAATACATGTTACACCACGGACTCGTGAGGTGTCCTCCATGAGATACACATCTTCTATGTTTTTCCAGATCAGTTGGTCCACGTTTCAGGCTTCACCAACCGGGTCATCTTTAAACACACCGGACCGGGCCGGTCATCTCCGCCGCAAACGCGACCTCCGGTCATCTGCCTCGGCCAGGGTCTTAAGAAGCTGGTCGTCGCCGGGCCGTGGCCAATCACCAAGGACCACTCCTGACAGGGGTGGCGAGGTTCCACTGCCGTGGGACGGGCGATGTTTGCGGCCGAAGGTCTTGGGAGGCGAAGGTTGTCAGCATGTTGCTTGGGAGTTCTTTGGGAGGTCATGACGTTTTGGGGAGCGGAAGTTTTCAGCGGCCCCTCCTCCGATTTTTAGATCAAGAAGTTATAAGACTCGGATGACTGGAGGAGGTTGCTCATCATCTCTATGCATAAAGGCATCTTGAGATCTCTAGTATCATGATGTATCATGTATCCGGGTCTTTGAATTCTCCGGCTCATGGGAAAGCTCTTGGCGTCACACGACTCAAACGGCCATGGCCGAAGAACAAAAGACTGTGAGACACCAAGTGAGTGAAAAGAGACACTGCCTGATCCCAATTGAACCCAAGGTTTGCCTCAAAGCATCATGTGCATCAGACGGGGAATTTCCATGAGTACTTGCACCTGACTCTTTCATTCTCTGGGATTGTGCTACACATTCTCAGGGCCCATCCAAGTACATGTCACTGACCAACCCAGAGCAATCAATCGACCATCCCAGAATTGGTCGAACTTGGGGTTGCTTTTCTGTGGCGGTTCCTTTACACTCCGTGAAGCAATCATGGAATCAAGTGGAAAAGCACCTGTTTGTAGAGGATAATTGTCTTTCAACGGGCCACTTTCCATTTCCATGTTAGTTCCAGGGAGTGCAAATGTTGTTTGTTGAAGAACCATGAGAGTGGAACGGCCGGGTCTTGAACATGCGGAGGCAACCCTCCACTCGATGCTTCCTATTTCAGGTGAGGCGGTGTAAACCAATCCAATGATCAGTTGAATGGCAATAAACAGAACATTGTCTCACTGGAAAGCACTGGTAACAACTGGTAACAGCATCCAACTGTCTTTTCAGTGTAACACATGGAAGCACACATCTGGGCGCCTCTCTTGTCCTTCTTTCGGTAGCAGTGCTCAGCAACACACGCGGAAAACGCATCGATCTTTGGTGTCTGATGTCGAAACCGTGGAGGTCTCAAGCCCTATATCGGGGTGCTTTGGGGTTTCAGTGGTTTGGCATCTATGCCAGTCGCCTTAGTCGGGGTTTTTGGTGCTTCTTGACCGACTCTGACCATGCAAGATCCTGCAAGCCTTGCCCTCTGGCTTCTCGACCCGGCCAGGTGGCTTTGACCACGCGCCGCGGACCGCGGACCGCGGGCCGCGGCGAGGTCCGCGCGGAGCTCTCCTGCGAGGTGCCCTCCGTGACCTCCACGGGTGCCTCCGGTTTCGGCGGGAGGGAGCTGGTGGGGGTGGGGAAGTCTCACCTGACACGGTCCTCGAAAGCTCAACTTCTTCGACTTTTTGGACTGATGATGTGTATGGCTATGCAAGGCTTGGGGTAAACAAACTCAAAGCATCTCACTGCTCTCTGCCGAGTTGCATACTATAAAGATCTGTAAAGTATATCTATAAGCAACCCCCGCCATTGCAAACACCAACCCCTGATCCTTCAGTCAACCAAACATAGAACCAAATCCCTCTTAGGCCCTCCGCCGCACTGCCTCTCCCTGCCACTTCCCGCCTGGCTGACCTCGTTCACTGGGCCCTCGGCTTCTTCTCCTCGTTTCTCGCGCTTCTCTCGCCGAGCGGCCTGGCGAATACGGCCCGCTGCCTGCGGTGAGCTTAGCATTTTTTTGATTCGCTTAATTTTTGGGAAATAATGGGAATGGTGGTGTAATGTGGTGTAAAGGAATTGCAGAACAAGATTGCCGGCTGCCATAGTCAAGCCCCCCCGGTAGACAAAACTTCGCAGAAGGTGTGAGTTTGCTCTTCGACACCACACTGGATAAACCGAGTCTGTCGGGCTGGGCCGGGCTGCGGATGTTATTTTTTCCTGCGGCAAAAGGAGCGAGCGAGTGGATTGATTCAAAAGACATGGGAAACATCACGGAAACCTCACGATACCCAGCCGAATGCAAAGGTTACCCCAGTGGTGAAACCGTGCCAAGCCCTGCGAGCCTGAATGAAGCATTTTGTGCATCGAAACACCCGCCTTTCTTGGTGCTGGTGGTGGAAGGATGCCCACCTTTTTTTGGTCCAGAAATTAATGTTTCATAATTTTTTGTATACCTCGTGATGAATCCTAGATCGCATCTGCTCACACGTCATGGAGTATATGTGCGGCGTATCCGCTGTGACCGACAGAGGATGATTGGTAGGATAAGGAGTTTACATTGAAGTTGTGTGTCCCTGGACGCACGCGTAAGGCCTGAATGAGTGAAGATGTGCTTTTCGGCCAGGCAAAATGGTGTGAAAAGCCACCAACGACATATACCAGCACCTCACTGCCAGGTCACCGATCGAAACCAGTGAGGGCCTTTCCCAACCTTCCATTTCGGAGACCTGTTGGGTTCGGTGCCGGTACATGGCCCCAATGCTTTTCTTTTGAACTCGCCCTTGTCGTTCTCCAGCGAACCCTGGTGATCACGTTTGTGGCCACAACTGCTGCCTCAAAAAGAGTGGCGTGGCGATCACGTTTGTGACTGACGGGTCAACGATTCACTTGCGGCCACTCCAAGAGAGCGTCAAGTGACCTGAAAAGGGACCCAGTTGGGGTACTGGGATAGTCGAAGGTTCGGGTCCTGACCCACCTCTCTTGGGCGACCGCGGCGACCGCGGCTGACCTCCCTGCGAATCCCTACGACCGCACAGCGCCGACACCTCCAGCGCTGCGGTCTTGGCCGATCGTTCCGCGGAGCGCTGCGCCTGTGGAGAACACTTCGTGGGAAGCGCTGCCAGGTGCAGGAGGCTCCTAACCTAGACAATCCTCGTATGACTTGTATGTATATAATATATAAATACTACTACCCAGATGCGACCATGGACCCGAACCAACTGCTACATGTTGGTTCGATCCAAAACCCTAGCTGTGAGGCTCAAAACCCTAGCTATCGGGGTCCAATGAGTTTGTGGGTACATTAAACAGATTTGCCGTTTTTGGCGGTGAATTTGTAGAAACATCAACCGGATGAAATCCATTATCTGTTGACATGGAGTGTGTGTAATAAGTAGTTGGCAACCGCAGGATGCCGCAGGAGTCAAATCTTCGATTCACCCGTTTCATGCGAGAAAGGACACCTGAGACCGAGACTAATTTGCACCCGACCTTAGGTGTTCTGTGTTTGGGCACGAACATGAGGATCCAAATTGTTTTTCTTCCTCCCAATGTCATTGCTGGTGTTGTGTTGCCATAATCAACAATTAATCTCTCATACCGCTTCTCATACCCTGTGACCAAAGCTTTATACTCAAAAAAAAACCATGACTCATCAAGCGGATCGCCGCATGATCTTCACGCCCTCTTCCCGTCGCGGATCGGCGGGGACCAGCGGCCTTCCGAGCTTCAGCCTCTGCCGCCTTCTTCGCCACCAGGTCCGTTTCCGCCGAAAGTTGTGCAACAATCCGTTCCACCTGACAGATGCGACAACAGAGCTGGAGGGCTGGAAGTGCCTAGAATCTTCGAGGACATCTAACTTCTAACTGAATCTAGCCGAATCTCACCCAATCTCTCTCCAACCCCATCCCGTCCTTTCCAGTCGATTCCAGCTTTTAGACCCCCAGCATCCCCAGCCGACCTCTTCCTGGATGAATTGAAAAATCACCGTGGCAGTGGGGCCAATGTGACGATTCCTCAGGCAAGTCCGAAAGCAGTGGACGTGGCAACTCCACGAAGCGGAGTCGCGATGCTGAGGGCGGACCGGTCGAGATCCGGCAAGAAAGAGAAACAAACCAAGGTCAAATCAAAAAGGTGGTCGAATGACCTCAGCAAGCGAGAAACATCCCTGACCCTCAACGCAACCGTAACATCATGATCCAAACAAAGAGAAATATAGATAGAAATAGCAGAACGATCCCACCGCACTTGACCTTGGGAGGCAACCCCTGGCACTGGATGAGAGAATAAACAAGGGCACCCCACTCGACCCAACTGATCGCAAAACCAGAAATGCAAGTCAGATTCCGTAGCCAAACATGAATCAAATTCAAAAATGAATTCAACCCCAGGAACTGCCACTCCACCCCTCCATTGGTGGCCAGCAAAAACCCTCCAGGCCGTTGAAGTGTTTCTGGTGTTGCACTTCCCGAAGTAAAGGCTTGATACCAGGCATCATGTATAAGAGTGGTAAGACAATAGGCACTGTCAACAAATTGAAAGAGCATCCGTCATGATCCTGGACCATGCGGGGATCAGTGATTGTCCAATGTATGAAGTGGCATTGCGCACGAAGTTTGGAAAACTGAAAACAGGGCCTTCAATGGGTCCAAGTTCAGTTTCTTGCCCTCGTGGTCATAGAGCGGGTTGACGATGTAAGGTATCCCATCTTTGTTGACAGGGATTCTATATGATGTGGTCGATTTCTCCCAGGCTTCGGGTTGAGCCGTGTCGGGATGGCCCAATTGATCAGCTTTACAAATACTACAAACTACTACAAACTACAAACTACAACAAACAACAACAACCAACAGCAACCAACAACAACCAACAACAACAAAAACTGGGAAGCCGAAGGCGCTTGTCGGGATGCCACTGTGCCAACAGTTGTCGCACCATGCGTTTCTGCTCCTGTGCGCCGAAGCCCCCCAGGGAGGGATGGGAATCGCACAAAATCGATCCGAAGACGGAATTCACATCCCGTTGGATGAAGGTAACTCTAAGGAAGAGAGCACCCTAATTCTTTACCCAACAGTTCTATGCTTGATCAACATTTTGCCATCTATATATTACTATGTAGCCGTAATTAACCCATATGTACTCTTTGTTGGACGCAACTGAACCCTCTAAATTCCACAGAACCCTCTGGTGTCGGCCAAATGCTTGATCTCCCGAACCCCGTCAGTTTCCCTTTATTTCTACCTGATCAGTTTGAGTGGGGAAACCGATCCCCCCCAAAAGGGTTATAGGTCCACTGACAGAAGAGTCAGTGTCTACAAATGCAGGTGGCTGCTCCTCCAAGGGCATCCCCGGATCCTTGGCCCAGCTCAACAGCTGCTGCCGGATCCCGTGCTTGATCTCCTGGCGAAGAAACACGTCGACATTGGAGCCAGCTGGATTTAAGCGAGAGACGTTGGTCTTTGTGGGGATCAGAGGTGGGGATGTTGGGTAGGAAACCTGTGTGAGATATGGATCTAAGCTTCCCGTGATACGATGCAAGTTTCATGCTGTGTGACTTCCGTTGTACAGCCCCGAAAGTGTTTTGGATCTGTTGAACTTGCAGACATTTCATTCATTCAGGCAACATGGCGCACCATCTTCTGAATGACAAATGTGACAGGGACGCTTGCGTCAACATCCGAGGAACAAAGACAACGGTATCTGAAACAACCTGCTGAAGATGGCCAACATTATCCAACGCAACAACGAAGGATTGTTATGAACTACAATCCTATTGCGACTGTCATCTTCATCTACAGTTACCTAGTGTCAAATTGAGCCTTGGGGCTTCTTTATTCCATCAAGCTGAAAGGCTTCCCCCACCTGTCCGACACCAGGAATTCTTCCGCTCCTTGATTTCTTCTTCCTCTTCTCGTTCGTGGTGCACGGCAGCATTCTTCCGTGACACCGAAGGCTTGGATATTCGATCTTCGGACGCCGAGTCTTCCTCCTGCAGCGAGGATGACTTCCACGAGCAGTGATCGGTGCCATGACTTCCACCAGGGTTGGTAGCTTACAGGCCTGAAAACTGAATATGTTGGGCCCACTGTGTGATTCCCAAGAGGATGTGAAGATCCTTTTCCTTGATCAAATAATTAGATTCAACTTCCCACACGCACCCACAATATCTCCACGAATGGGGCACTTGAAGCACTGCTTGCTCACCTTCCCACTTCCCCAAACGGGGAATACACATGGAATACAGCGACACCCTTGACGGTCCCGTGAAACACCGAAACAGCTGCGGTATGTGTTGTTGCATCTTCCCCAGTTCCCTGACCCCCACTCCGCAGCAGTTGGAATCTCCTCCTCCTCTTCTTCCACATCCTCGGACACTTCAGCCTCGCTCTTTTTTTGAGTTGATGGGTTGATCCCGGGACAATACCCCAAAGAAGTTTGGGTGGAGCAGACTTTCCGAGAACTCTTGATCTTAGTATAACCACTATTCAAGCATACCGTATTACCATCGAAAAAAAAAAAAAAAAAACGTATACCGTATACCGAACCGAGCACTCTTGGCCCAAACTCATCCAAACTTCCACTCTTGGTGGGTAGAAACCCGACGGCCATGGGGTGACCACCCGACTCCTTCACGCGTTCACGGGCCCAAGGACTCCACCGCCCAGTCGTGAGCGCACGACATCCACAGTGTGGACGATCCAACGTTGTAGGCACCAAGGGTTGGAGTTCTGTAGGTACCATCAGCTTCTATCGGTGCAATGCCTAAGAAACCCAACGCCACCAACCACCAACTCAAAAAAAGCGTTTTTTGTTTTTTGTGTTTATGTTTTTTGGTATGTCAACCACTCACTGGGTAGGGGAACAACGTGGCACATCCACAGTTTGCCCGGAAGCTCGGGAACGGGCCTCTTCAGCGACCTTGGGCGCTGCTCTGTCAACAGGAGGGCTGTACCTCTTCAGCACTCGATGCGATGGGTATCTACTGGACCAGTGGGTTCTCAACGATGCTTTTCATTCATGCACACAAAGACTCTGGGTTCACCGGGTTTCCCTCTTGTACCTTCTGAATGGTATAAACGAATTCTCCTCGATTTGTCGGTTCTCTTGATGGACACTGTACGAACCATCCGCCCTTCTTTGAATCACGGCCTAATCGGCTATTCGGGTATTCGGTGGCAGCGAGCATGGTCGACGACCGAGGGTTCTAAAGAAGACACTTCTCCTGCACCTGCCATGCTTCCACACTCAAGTGAGGGTAACAGGGTAGACAATCCCAAACAAGAAAGGGCAAACCACATCCCACATCTTCAAGATTCACTTGTTGCAACACTTTGCCGCGACATGACTCGAACTCTTGCGCTCTTTGCCAACAAAAATTCCGTTAGACGACAATCTGCACCTTGGAGCCCAAAAAGGACTCAGCAGAGTTGATTTCTTGTGGGGGAGTGCAACATGTGTGTAAAACAGGCGGTCTTTTAAGTCCATTACATGTCCATTACATGTCACTTGATGTCTGGTCCATGTCTCCATGTCGACCGGCGGTCTCCATGTCTCCATGTCGGTCTCTGCTCCGCATGGCTCGTGTCGGAGCCGGTGAGACCGGGAGCCGGTGATGACGAGTTGCCGAGGACTCACGTTGAATCAAGCTGACACCCTATCTATCATTTGACGCACAGTATCTAGAGGTCCTGGAGTGCCAATTGTTCCACGTATAGTACGTAAACATGGCTGTACATGGCGCCATGTATTTTGATATGGAGACCCCCGAGATCTCGCCCTGGCTGGGCGGACTGGTCGGTTTTCCTTTCTTCCGGAGGGGTCGGAACGCCAGGGAGGTCTATCAAAATACACGCTGAAGATGAGCCCTGTCAGCCAAGACTTCGCGCCTGTTGCGAGTGAGTTGATGAAGCAGTTCTTGGCATGTCGTCTTTCGATCAGGGATTTGACCAGCTGTCGGACTCGGGAAAAGAACAACACAATTGACCAGGTGTCTGACTTGAAGCCGCCTTTCGGTGGACCCTTTGTGTGAACCTTGCGGAAAGGTTGTTTCTGCAATCCAACCCATGCGACCCCCCCTGCTTCCCCCATCCGACGGGCACGCGAGGTCATCGTGATCTTCGCCTGTGGTGACACATGTTGATGGTTTTCCTGGTTTCAATAGGCTTCAATTGAGACAATCGATCATTAATCATAGCCCTTACATTTCATGGTATTTCGATTGTTTGTGATCGAGGTACGAACTCCAGGACAATAAGGTGTCCCCACCTGACATGGCGACCCATGTCAAGATCATTCTTCTGACTCCATGGCATGCCTTTTCGCCTGGCCAAAACTCTAAAATCAAACATTGAACTCCTTGGAATCCATCTAAAACAGCTTGACACTAGAGATGTGAACATGTTTCGCTGGAAGACTGCGCTTGCGATTGCGAAGCGACTTTCTGCTGCAACTTCCACCCACCTTGCACCTACCCACCTCCCACTGTCCATTGCTAGGGCCTTGCACTGGGCCTTGCTAGAGCCCACGAGCGCCACTGAAAAATCCTTACAGGATGAGAAAGGTTGACGTTCCCTTCCGACAACTTCGATAACCAAACTTTGCACATCTTCGACTCTGATAGCCCTGAGCATCTCTGAGCCATTTCCCTGAAGCAAAGTGCTTGGGATGATAGTCTTCACGGGGGGAATCTGCCAGGACTAGTCTATGTGAACCTTGCTATTGAAACATAACATAACTTAACAAAACCATTTCTATGATTCCCATATGGGCGACTGACATCTACTGACACTGTAAGGCCAATCCCCAAACTAGAGTCAGCAATCACAATGTCCTAGCAAAACACAGAAGACACACAAACATCTATGAAGAATGAGTCCGTTTGATAGAAAGGGTGTGGTTCTGCCAAGGGAGATAAGGACATCGATCAGCTGTGTCCACACACCACAATCATTCAGCGAAACACATCAAGGAACTTCGGGGCCCATAAAATTCTACAAATAATCTCAATAATTTCTCCCCATAAAATCCCAATTAAGAAACACACCCAAATGATCTCTTCCACAAAGGACTTCTGGATCCAGTAGCATTGATCCAGATTCACTCCCACAAAGGCTTGATCCAAACATCTCGTAGACATCCGGCCAATCCACCAGCTGTATTACATTCTCATCTTGAACGCCAACATCATGCCTGGTATCCCAAGTTGGGGAGTCCCCCAAATACCGAGTTCCATAGCAGCAAGCACTTTCCATAAACTGCACGCATCTTCTCTGGAGAGATCCTTTTGGACAGTCCACTGAATGCACCCGACGCATCGACCACCGCTGCGTCTTTCGGCCGAAACATCGACCACCTCGCCTAGGCCGACCCGGCGCTGCGCCGTTTGCCGCCGCACCTGGCGCACCGAACTGCACTCGGTGCGGCTCTCGGTGCTCTCGTCACAACGAGCGATGGCCTCTAGCTCCCTGCCAGCACCACCCAGTTTGGGTGGTTTATAGACCCCCCTGAAGATGTATTTTCCATCTAATAACCACCCCTTAGGGTGTCCTGGTGTATGTATGTTTTGTTTCGACTAGCGATGGCCTCCCAACCGCACTGCGGCACCTGTGTGGTCTATGTCAAAACCGAAGCAAAAAGCATAATTTGGGGAACGAGGATGCAAGGGAACAGTCTTCATGGCAAGGGTTCAACCACGATAGGCTTCATGGTTTTGGGCTTCAAGGTTGAACTGGAGCCTATTATTCCATCACTCGCACTTCTACAAACACATCACATGCTTTGGCCAGTTTCCCTCCAACAAAGGGGTTAACCTTTTCCATCCTTTTCCACCTGGTTGTCTTTGTGGGGAAACCTGTCCGCCCAAAAAGGATTTTGGATGTGATCCACTCACCGACTAGGTGAAACACTGCCACCGGTCTTCGAAGAACTCTTCCTGAAACTGGGTCCATGGGCCTTCGTGAAATCTGCTGAATGGTCCCAACAAGGTAGAAGTATTCCGTAGGTACCTCAGTGGTACCCCAGTAGGGCCCTTTTCAGGTCACTTGCCCTCTGGTCCCTCCAAATGCGAAGAACTAGCTTACGGTCAACGTCAATGGTTTGGGATGGTCCACATGCTGTTGATCCATCACCCGCCATGGGTTCGACCAAACTTGGCTTTACCAAGCCAATCTCCAGTGGTCCAATAGGTAGAACGAACGACTCACCAAACGATTTTGTGCTTGTCCACTGCCTCGCGTTTGTCGAGCCTCTTCTCCTGGCAGGTGGGTCGGACGTTCCATTCTCCGGAGGTTACGAAAGGATGCTGTTACCGGCGCATACGTTCTTGCTGTTTTCCTTTCTAAGCATGATAGTGCCGATTTCGCACCTCTGTGCGACACTCATGAAGAGGAACACATTGTGCATTATGCATTGGTCATGATCAGCTGCAGGGCAAACGGCACGAAGCATTTTCACACCCAGTGGGGCCTAACCCGCCTTTTCCTGTTGACCCATTCCTATCAATCTGTCCCCATTGATGTCTGTATTATATAAACAATATGGCTGGCTAGCCCAAACATCCCAAGACCATCGTAGAAGACCCGTTTCAGGGGTGCCTGTCTTGGTGGCAAATTCAAACATCCAAACAGGGATCCAAACACCACAGCCAACAGGCTCTTCCGGAAGTAAAGCTTCACATCCCTGAGTCGTCGTTCTTCGGGTTCGATGGGTTCCACGCTCGAAAGCCGGACAGGCTAGGAAGGTGACCCTTTTCGCGAAACCATCATGTTGCTTACAAAGTTCAAGCGCTTATACTGCTACTAGGATAGTAACTTGGTAAGTAGGACCCTAGTTCATCCCATTTGGGATTCTGAACAATTCATCTGTTTCCCTACATTCATCTGCTCCCAATCGCTTCAGATCCCTCAGGGTGTTCACCGAACCGCCACGGACGTCACCGGCCCTCTGATTTCTTCAGGTTCCCTGGAAGAGACCCACATGATGAAAAACACTGGGGTTGTAGCGGATTTTTTCCAACGGTGCCTTTTCAGGTGCACTTTCAGGTTTGATGTGGGCGGATGTGGGTCTCTTCTTAAATCTTAAACCGGGAAAGGGTCTCTTCCCCTGAAACCTTCATGGTAAAAACGATGTTAAACGTGGATGCCATGGCCCCTTCGATGTTTTCTTGCAGGGAGGGTAACACTCACTGAACAAACTCCACCTCTTCTTGTCGAGTGGGGGGCAACCGAAAACTCCGCCTGCCCAGACACTCCATGGGACTGCCCTATATGCCGCCCCATTGACTCGCAGTCCCACCGATCGTGTCTGGGTCGGGCCTCTCTTGGCTTCGTCTCACCGACCGCGCCTGGCCGCCCTTCCGAGCGCCTTTGCCTCGCCTGGTGAGACGATGCCCGGTTGCCTTCAAAGACCCCTTAAAGGGAATGAGAATGAATGCGAACGACCTGGTTTTGTAGTGGCTAAATCCTTAAAGTAAAACAATGGTTGTTGGGATGCGAGGGTATTGGCAGATCTTCAGGTTTCAATGGCACCGCATCAAAAACGACGAGAACCTTTACAATCCGTTGAGGCGCTTCCATAAACAAGGATTTCATCACAACTTGCAGGACCTTGAGTGGGAGTCCTTTGATTGAAGCTCGCCTCCGCCGAGGCTGGCCGGCTGGTCTTGAGACCCAAATCGCGCAGATTGACAACAACATCCCCATCTTTGTAGGGTTTCAATTTACAAGCGGCTGTGGCCTCCGAATTCGAAGTACATCCCGGCTTCCAGGGAAGACCTCGGAAACCAAGTCCAGCTCTACCCCTCTCAGCCCTTCAGGGAGTCTCCCGTTTTGTCATCCATTTCGCCGAGTTTGCCGGCCCCCATCTCCCCTCTCAGTCTCCGTGCTCGTTCGGCATGCTCGTTCAGGTCAACGCCACATCGCTGCAGTAAACAGTGGCTTGCTGACGTCTGGAGACGGTTTCTCGCAAATTTCAAATTGCTATCATTCACCCAAAGGCTCAATGGACCCTGATAGCTAGGGTTTTGACCCTCACAGATAGCGTTTTGGACTTCAAACATGTAGCAGTTGGAGGGTCCAGGGTCGCGTCTGGGCATTAGATTTTTGGAGATCGGTGTTTTATGGTGTTTTTGGAAAAGAGGAAAGCCGCAAGATTCTAGCGTTGGAGCAGCAGGGCTTCTTTCCTTTAATAAGACAAACCCAGCGGGTATATAAATGGAGATTTGTCTCGAGTGGGTTTTGAGCCACAAGTGGTTGTTTCTCTGGCTGATCGGAACTCTTCACTTCTACAATCAATCACATCCCAGGATCACTTGATAGAGTTTACCTCTGTTTCCACATTTCTGCGGAGTCTGCTCACAAGATAGTCGTTTGACTTCGTTGAGATTTGGAGCTTGAGTGTTGGAAGTCAAATCTAAGCGCCCTCAGCGCAGTTGCTTCCGGCTGCGCAAGCAGGCTTGGGGTCGTCCGCATGTGTGACTGGGTTGAATCCCTCCTTTGGCAAATACTAAACTATAGCTCCCAAAATGATGGCAAACATGATGAACCAACACCCATTGGGTCAAAGCAAGCTTTGAATACTTTAAACTTCTAGAAAGGCACCCAAACCATTGACCTAATGGCTTTGACGCCAACGTCGGCCCGATCCTAAGCATTATTTGGCAGTCAAAACATGTCAACACCCTGGTTGATCCCGGGTTCAATGAACACATGCCTCGATCATCCTCGATCATCTTGGATGTCAACGGTGGAGGGGCTTGGGTTCCTCGATCATCCTCGATCGTGCTCCTTCGAGGACCGTATATTCAGAATGGCTGACCTGGATTTGGTCATGAAAAACCAATCCTTAGCAAAACCAATCCTGTTCACTCTCACTCTCACTCTCACTCTTACATTTATTTAAAAACCATGCTTGTTGGGCAAAGACCATTCAAAGAATGCTTGTTTGGCTTTGCCTTAGGGTTTGGCTTTCGCTTCTCAGGGCGTCACGGTTTCAGGGCTACACCGAACTCGGCTTCACTCGTGGACCGAACTCCGCCGTTCGTGTGGATGCGGTCGATGCGTCACCATCTACCCAGTCAGGCACAGGCCAGTTAGGACCCTACTGTTACGTCCGGGTTTTGACCCGAAACAACTAGGGTGAACTGGACTTCATCCCTACAGTAGTGATGACCCTTGCTACAGTCTTCGTAGCGTTCTTGTTACTGGTTGTAGTAAGGCCAGGAGCCCCGTTCGTAGCGTCCGATCGCTCCTAGTACCAGCAGTAAGACTGGACATATCCGGACAGCTTCGACATCTGCCTTCGCACCTCTTTGCCCGCGAGCTGCGCTGCCCGCAGCACACAGCCGCCGAAAAAGTGGGGCGGAAAAACATGCCGCCAACGCCGGAGGTAGCCAACGATACCTTTATCACCCAAATCTGTTTTTGTTGAAAATCATAATCATGTTCATATTTGATTCCATATATAATTTGTTTTGGTTCCATATTCATATTCATTATATGTCATTCAATATAGCCAAGAATTTGAACTAACTCAGATGGAAGTGGACGGCAGCAGCTCTGCATGTGTAAAGGAACATGGTCTTCCAGAAAGCCCTGCCACCCACATCCACGCTTTCGTGAGTGCAGAGTGTAGATGTGAACTGGACTTCCAAAGCTTCACCACGATTGCGGTTGACATCCTTTCGAGCAGTTTGTCATTCTATACTGCTCCCCACCTCGTCACCGGTTGCTTTGGGGTGGCTCAATGGCTCACTCATTTTCTGGTATGGGACAGAATGCGCGTTGCTAGTCTCCAACGGCCCGCTCGCAAATCCGCTAAAAAACCGCTTCTCTTCGCCCTTGGACATTCGGATGAACATTCAATCTCTATCTGTCTGCTCCAAAACTCCACAGAAGCCAAGAAAACCACATGATGTCACGTCCGTTCGACGCTCCCCTGGACCCGAAGCCTCCATGTTTCTTCGGTCCAAGTTGCCCTAGTTGTGAAGGTCAAGACCCATCAAAACCCTATAGAGCGAGAACTGAGGTTCCTTTCTGAGAGCCTTTGGGATATATAAAAACACCTCGAATGCTTGATGCTTCATGTTGAACCCCGAAGAGCTCGGCGCTGGCGGCTCCAAGTCCCGTCCGGGTCGCAGACCGATCGGACCTGTCCTTTCATGACTGTGCTGTCTGGTGGCAAGCTGAAGCGAATGGCCAGCCAACTGCACGCGGACACCAACCCTTAGTCTCATCATTACTGCATGGCTTGCCAACTCACGACAGCTTTTGGCCATGGTCATCAGGACCTCCCCATGACCTGGGATGTTCCGGATCGGCCTGCGAAAAGGATGGCCATCCAGCGAAACGGATGGCTAGTACATATCCACCTTCTTGCTCCGGGTCTTCTCACGCATTCGCCGCTTGGTCTCCTTCAACGCCTGCGAGACAAATCGTGGACGTGAGGCCGCGGCAAATGCCCCGGGTTCTTGCACGCACCCAGGGCATGCAAGCCGTGTAGGATCGTGTAGGCATAGGTCATACATGCTTGCCTGCTAGGGCTAGAGATGTCTTCTAAATCTCTTCTTTGGCAGGCTCCAAGGTCTTCAACTTGCCTGAGCACCACCTAGTCCTTCAAATGCGAGTCCCCCAAAAATCAATGAGTGTGATCAAATGTGGCTTAAAAGCATGGACAAGCTCTACAGAAAGCACCCCACACAGTGCAGCACAGGCATTCTTTGGAAAAACACATTGTCTACATACAACCTGGAATATGGTACAAGCTCCCTGACGTTCACCTCCTTCACCTCATCAAGCTGCTGCATTCAAACAAATGATCGAGGACACCGAGAACCGGGAACCTCCCAGCTCTGGCGCCTTCGGACCACCGACTGCCGGACCGACCGTCTGGACTCCCTTTTATTTGAGACTTTTGTCGAACCTCTATATCCCCAAACACTCCATGGGACCGCCATCCTCGTCTGGATCCCATCCGATTCTCTCGCCGTCCTTCCCATCCGACTCTCTCGCGGTGGGGAACACCGAGGAAGACCGGAAGCGAAGACGACCAGGGCCGAAAAGGGGCCGAAAAGACGGGTGAGAGGCGGGAGGCGTTTGATAGACATGATGAGGCGAGCAAGGATGGATGAGGATCAATGTTTCAAAACAATCGATTAGATATGATTAGATATGCACATTGAGAGAGTTCCATGAGTTCATTGGAATTTTACATATTGGAGCCAACCTTCCATCATTCCATGTGTTTAGATTGCTTTTACATGATGTGGTTGTCATGTTCATCACTCATTATCCCGCAGCCTCGTTGGTTCGACGATGTTTCTTGTTGAGTCCAACTGAAAATGATCTTTGTGATCCGTGTCATTCCCAACACAACAATTTTGGGCACACGAAGGGACCCCAAAAGTAAGAACACCCAGGACCTTCAAAGTGATCTCTTTCAAGTCTCTAAGTGGCCTTTTGCTGGCCTGTCTGTGACCTCATCCTGGGATCTCAAGTTCGGTCACTTTGAAGGTCCTCCGTGTCTTTATATTCCCTTTCAAATTCTTATGATCAATTGGCAGCGCTGGCAACACCCCGAATATTTCAGCTTTGTCCATATCTCTGTATCTGGAGAAACAAACTGGATTGGCATTTGGGTGAGCGAAAAAAACAATGAACACCTGTTGTTCCTGGCTTTTCAGCATGAAAACAATCCTACATACGTCACCTACAGCTCCAACCCACAGCTCAACTTTCGCCTGCTCGCGCTTCTCCAACTCCTTTTCCCTGCCTTCTCGCCTGAGCATGGGATGGAATGAACATTCCAAGCATCCAAAGTGAGCGGTGGGTTGTCTATGTTGAGTAGCGTCCAGGTCCAGATTCTAGTACCAGTAAAATAGGACGTTATTATAGGCTTAATATAGTCTAATTTTGTTTTTGTGGATCGCTCATGAAAACTTGATTTCCAATGTTTACACAGAAGTATTGGAGGCATCAACGCTCTTTAGATTCAGAACACTTACCAAACTGGGCAATCTTCCAAATCTACGGTCACTCAACTGCAAAAATGACATGACATGTGGCATGTGGTGTGTAACGCATTATGTGACATAATGTGCCAATGTTGATCGTGGTTTCAATATGTTTGGGATTTTCGTGGCAAAGCTGAATGCACCCCCCCAGAAACAAATTTGGTTTCATGTTACTCTTCCGCCTCGGCCTCGATTCCCGCTGCAAGATCACTCAGGGGACCCAAATGAGGACTGCATCGTTCAGAATTCTAGGTCAATGAACATGACCAAAAAAAAGGGTGTTGCAGTCTTCGACAACAGGGTGTGGACTTCGACAACAGGGAGACCTCCCAAGCACCTCCTGGAAGAAGGAAAGTCGACCAAACCCAGTGGTTGGGTGTCTCCGTATGTTAATATGCAGCCACATGGCGACTCTAGAATATCCCGGGATCGTTTTCGGAGGGCAAGTTTTTGACAAATCGCATGTCTGTCCAGTATGTTTCAAAGGACAATAATTAACAAAAGGTGCTTTCATGTGCTTTAGCTACAACTGACAAACTTGAACATGTGATCTTTTTTACCATTCCCTTCCATTATCGTTGCGGCTTAAAGTCTGGAACAACATCTCAACCCTCAAAAAACCATCAGCTCCAGGAATCAGGAGAACTCGCCCAATTACTGTTACTTGGATCTCGCTTGTAACTTCACATCTACCTCATCTAAGTATGCTTGATTGACCAAATGGCGACATCTGACCCAGATCTTAGAGCAAGTACTCCAAAACAATAGCAGCAAGTCAGGAGAACTTCGACCTGCCAAGTCAGGCCAAGCTGCTTGAACTTCATGACCACATAGTCTTTGAAGTCCTGCAGGTGGTCCAACAGTTAGCGCTTTTGGTTGGTTCAGT